TATAATTGCATACATTGCGCCTAACACCGAGGGTAATTTTACAAAAGGATAAATGCAGTCTTTCAATTTCCGGAGATTTATGAAAACCCCAGATTTCGCTTCCATACGAGATAACACTTCCAACATATGTATCAAAGAGTTGACATCGGGTTTCGACGTTGAATTCAAATTTCTGTATATTACGGTTTAAACCAGATAGTGCTTTTTGACCTTGTTCAGCTAATTTCTTTTGCGTACCATTGAATTTACCGTTATAATTTAAATATAATCCTAGGTAATTAAAAGAGTCGACAATTTCCAAAATTTCATTGTTATATGTCCATGAAAAATTTACGCATCCTCCTTTTCTGAATACTAAAATTTTGGGGTTTTTTCAGTGTTAACAGTCAAATTCCACGAGGTAACATATCCATGTAACGCGTCAAGCATATACTGTAATTCTTCGGGTGAGTTAGCGAATATTACGGTGTCATCTGCGAACATCAAAACAAACAGATTTAAACAGAAAAATTCAAAATATAAATAAATTAATTGTGAAAAATAGTTTAAATTTCATTATTTTCAATCTGTCGGTTGCACTTCTATACTGCCTAAATAGGAAGGTATGATACAATACAGAGTCTGTGTGGGTTTCTCACAGTTTTAGGGCAAACTGAGGATATTCACAGGACGGAGAGATCCAGTTGGCATTCTTAAACGTGTCTAGGAAAAGTTTAAGATAAATCATCACTGAAATTTGTCTTTTCAAGCAAAATTTTCAACTTGAATCGTAACGTGAAATTCAGACATGCGAGTTTGGAGGCCTATTTTCTTGATTTTGAACACTACAAAGAGAACAATCTAAAAATGTAAATAGATAGAATGATAGAGAGGAATGTAGAGGTTGGGACTATGCTCATATTTTGTGATAGAGACCCTTCGTTGAGCTGCAGCGCGGATGCAAATACCCACATTGAAACACACATGCACGAACAAAAACACGTACGTCTCGACACACTGGATGTTTTCTAGGCGGTCCGCGCTCAGTGTAAACAAAAACAGCAAGTGCGTGTGACCCAAGTATTCCAGTGTTCACTGTTCCCGAGAAGTAAGTCGTCGTTTTACTCTCCTAAGTAGCCATGGCCGATACTGCTGCACCAGCAAAGTCCCCAGCCAAGAAGAAGGCCGCAAAGCCTAAGGTGCCTGCTGCACATCCTAAGTACATTGACATGATTAGCGCCGCCGTTGCATCTCTGAAAGAACGCGGTGGCTCATCCAGACAGGCCATTCTCAAGTACATCATGGCCAACTACAAAGTGGGCAACGATGTAAACTCTATCAACGCCCACCTGAAAATGGCCCTGAAGAACGGTGTTAAGAAAGGTGCTCTGAAGCAAGCAAAGGGTACTGGCGCTAGTGGCTCCTTCAAACTTGGAGACAAACCCAAGACCGAGAAGAAACCTAAAGCCAAAAAGGTTGCCAAGCCCAAGGCAGCCAAGCCCAAGAAGGCCGCCGCCAAGCCCAAGAAGCCTGCCGGAGAGAAGAAGGCCAAAACTCCCAAGAAGAAGACAGCAGCCAAGAAACCAGCCGGACCCAAGAAGACCAAGTCCCCCAAGAAAAAGGCAGCCCCCAAGTCTCCAAAGAAGGCAGCAGCTAAGCCCAAGAAAGCCAAGACTCCCAAGAAGGCAGCAGCCAAGAAAACCAAGACTCCCAAGAAGGCAGCCGCCAAGAAATAAGCAGTCTTTGCATTCCAGACAGACTGTCTACTTAAAAAAAAAAGCCCTTTTCAGGGCTACCCACATTTTTAGAAAAGATACTTCAATTACAGTCGTTGATGAAAAGCCTGCATGTTTGCCTCTGTCCCCCCCCCCCCCCCTCCTCTCTCTTTTTGTCTCACATTGTAATAAGGCTGTGCTGAAAATGTAAAATTAGGAAATTTTGTTGCGATTTCTAAATCAATAAAATTAAAGTATTAGAAATACAACACTGCCTAAGGGTAAAGTAAAATTATATGATCATAGTAATATTTTTAAAGTACAAGAAATTGGAAAATGATATCTCCCCCTCTCCCCCCCCCCCCCCCAAAAAAAAAAAAGTTATGCTCACATACAACATTAATAATGGGGAATGACAATAAACAGGGGATGTGAAAGTGTGTATATGAAATTTTGAAGTATGATAGACCATTTTATCACACAAAAACACTGGTTCAAAATTCAGTGTTAAGTACACAAGTTTTATGATCAGATATTTTGAATTTGTCTGTTTTATTTCCTAACTATCAAGCCATACACAAAATGAAATGGCACATACTCTGGTACTCTGAGATAAATTTGTAAGGTAGTGACTATTGATGCAACTTCTGTGTAACCCGTACATGACCAAAGAATTCTTGAAAGCAAAACCACTTGCATACCAGTGCTTATTATTACATGATACATCACTTTGACATATTTTAATTTACAGAATCAGTTTTTTTGAGCTAAAATTTCTTTGACCCTTCGGACTTGTTTTGACAGGACTTGATGTGTTGACAAGATAAGTTCTTGAAATATCTTAAATCAAATGAGACAAACACAAACAACACAATGAAAGAAAAAAAAATCAGGTCCTTAAAGAGAGCAAAGCAATGTTGGGCTGATTTACAAGTGTTATGACACCCACCAAACACTGGGCAATGTATATAGAATTAAAAAAAAAATAATAAAATAAATAAATATATGGTAATATCCTTTTATACATTTATACATTTGCATGGCTTTGTATACTAGGGAAGGCTTTGAAATCCAACAATCTTACAGATAAATAAAAGAAAATAAAAAATAATAATAATAATAACAATTAAATAGATACATAAAATGACAAAAAAAAACAAACAAAACAAAACAAAAACAAGGGATAAATCATTACGATTGTTAACATTATTACTGTGATTGTTTTTATCTCTTCATTCAATGGATCCTTATTATCAGAATTATATAATTTTAACCAAATAACCTAGATTTAAACCAAGTACAAAATCTGTGCAGAAAGGTGGATTGAAATGATTCCAGCTAAGACCAATCGAAGCACAATGTGCCCGACTAATCACAAGGCGTCTTTCTTAACTCCGGAACCAATCGCAAACATCCTTACTTCGTGCGCGCTGATTTCGAAGTTTGATCAAATATTCACGAGCCACAGGACCGTATAAAACTATAGTAAACACACGATCTCGTCATTCATTTTATCTGAACTCAGAGAAGATGGCACGTACCAAGCAGACTGCAAGAAAATCTACTGGAGGCAAGGCCCCACGAAAACAGCTGGCTACCAAGGCAGCCCGTAAAAGCGCACCAGCCACCGGTGGCGTTAAGAAGCCTCACAGATACAGGCCAGGAACTGTCGCTCTCCGTGAGATCAGGAGATACCAGAAGAGCACCGAATTGCTCATCAGGAAACTCCCATTCCAGCGACTTGTCCGTGAAATCGCTCAGGATTTCAAGACCGATCTGCGTTTCCAGAGCTCTGCCGTCATGGCCCTCCAGGAAGCCAGTGAGGCCTACCTTGTCGGACTCTTTGAGGATACTAACTTGTGTGCTATCCACGCTAAGAGAGTAACCATCATGCCAAAGGACATCCAGCTTGCCAGACGTATCCGTGGCGAACGAGCTTAAACATATTCTTGTTCCAGACAAAACACAAAACGGCCGTTTTCACGGCCACCAAAATATTTAGAAAAGATGCCTTCATGTTACAGCGCTCAAGAAACGTAATACACAAAATTAAAACACAAGGCCACATGATAAATGTTAGATCAAATTTGGAGTAGGAAAGTGTCATATAAACTGGCATAAACGCATCTAAACTATTATTTATACATATGCAAGAAAACAACAGATGTGATCGTATTGAGTGTTAAGTAGCCTATATACTGGCATAATTGTGACATCTTACACTCTATCATTACTTATAAACAAGACGAAACTATAACAATAAGTTTAAAATGAATGTCACGGACAATTCGAAAATGAATAAAACACTTGCAAATATAACGTACAAAACAGAACAATTATTTTCTAATTTAGAGTCCTTAACAGACAAGTATGAAATTATTACAATTATAAGAAAAAGGTATGCCAATGGATAGTATAACAATTTGTAAATGACATTGTTCATTTCAACAATAATATTGTACTATTTCAGTTAAAGGGAATACTATAGATAAAAGTGTATCGGCTACTACAACATGTTATCATTTACGAACACGTATCCAAACATATGCCAAAAGCACAACCATTAGAAGAAAATAGTAATTCTAATAAAGCAGAATCTCGTGCAGCACGAGCTGCACATGTGTCTGTCGTGTGCAATGTAAATACACAGTATATACCATCAATTTCACAAGAGAGAGAGAAAGAGTAAACGTTTACTTTATGAATACTGAATCAAATGATATATTAAAGAGGTGAGAACCTCGTTAGTGGTTAATACTTGCGTGCAAAACCTTTTGCATTGTGCCAAAATAGGTACAAATGAAAATAAATGATAAAAATATTCATTTAAAAAGAAAGGAATCACAGATTTAAAAACAGGAACTGCGCACGTAGTTCTAACCATGTATTTTTATTCGAATTTATTAGAAATGGGTATAAAATTTAAAAATATATATATATATTCATTTAAAAAGAAAGAAAACACAGATTTAAAAACAGGTACTGTGCACGTAGTTCTAACCATGTATATTTATTCGAATTTATTAGAAATGGGTATAAAATTTTAACATTCTAAAATATTGAACTACTGAATTGAGATAACAGGATTAGAAACAGCTCAAGGGTACATCAATAGAAAAAAAAAAAAAAATGTAAACAAGAACAAGCAAGGCGCGCAGAGCGGGAACCAATCAGACTGTTCCTTACTGTGTGCCTTCGTTGCACTGCCGAAGTTTTCAAGATACAAGTGCCTCTAGCGCGTCGTCGAACAGCGCTATATATATCGCTATCCCGTCTGTCTAGCGTCATTTCAGAAGTTTAATCTAC